AAGGGTGTGGAGAAAAGGGTATGCTTCTGCACTGTTGGTGGGAATGTAAGCTAGTTCAACTTTGTGGAAAGCAGTGTGGTGTTTTCTCAAAGAACTAAAAACTGAGCTACCATATGACCCAGCAATCCCACTTTTAGGACTATCCCCAGAGGAACATAAAATGCTTTAAAAATATACACCTGCAAACATGTTAATTGCAGTATCATTGACAATAGCAAAAATATGGAACCAATGCAGATGCCCACTGGAAGTGAACTGGATACAGAAAATGTGGTACATATACATGTAGGAACACTACCCATCCATAAAAAAAGAACAAAATCATGTTCTTTGCGGCAAAAAAGAACAGCTGGAGAACATTACTCTAAGTGAACTATCACAGAAAAAAAAAACAAATATTGCATGTTCTCACTCATAAGTGGACCCTAAACATTAGACATGTGAAGATAAAGGTAGGAACAACAAATGTTGTGCAATGCTAAAGGAGGGAAGAAGGAAAGGGAGGAAGGGGCACACAACCCCCCATTGGGTACCACATCCACTACCAGCAGGAGAGAGAGCTTGCTAGAAGCCCAAACCCCACCAGGATGCAATTTACTTAGGTAGCAAATCCTCACAAGCACCCTACAGCTCTAAATGAATGAATGTGAGGACACTTTTCTCTTTGAAACAGAGTGTTCCTTTCCTTCAGTCCATTAATTATCCTCAAAGTCTTAACATAATTTCATACTGACAATGAGAAATAGAACACTCCTTATAAGATTTGTGCTCTAGGATGGGCTCAGTGGCTCAGTCTGTCACCCCAGCACTTTGGGAGGCCGAGGCAAGTGGATTGCCTGAAACTGCCGATTTGAGACCAGCCAGGGCAACTTGACGAGACCTTGTCTCTACAATAAAAAAATCAAAAATTAGATTTACTTTTTAGTTGTTTGAGACACAACTAATGAAACTGGCATTAGCTGACTTCTAATTATGAAAACCTTAAAGGCAATAACTCCTGACAGATTAAAACATCAAGAAAAGGAGAACAAATGCACAAGAATTACCTCTAATTCAAATCAAGTTAAAAAAAAAAAAACTCACTAAATCAGTGAGCATTATAATTCAGAAGGGACTTTATACTTTTTTTAAAAAACACTTTATTTTATTATGACGATGTAGAGTACAAGTTAGGGTTAGGTATATGCATGGTTTACAAGCCTCCCTCAGGATCCCACTTCACCTCGTTTAGGATCCATTTCCCTTAGTGACAGAAAGGACTTTATACTTCAAACAGGGAGAAAAATTAAAATAAAAATGAAAGACAACAGCTTAAACTTACTGGGTTATCTGTGGTATCATCAGCCAACTGTAAACCAAAGTAGTCTTGCTCAGTCAAATCAAGATGTTTGAAGACAGTATCCAACAGAACTTGCCCCTGATCATGTTTCTGGAAGAAAAATAAATGAAATCAACTTTGACAGGCTATGCCTTTTAGGCTTTTTAACCTAGTCAATTTTTTGTCCTCATCTGTTAAATTGGCAACTGTTTCCATACCAATACCGATGATTTGGTTGAAAATAAAGACTTTACATGGGACTTGATACTTTCAGAAAACAACCTGACCTTAGGCAAATTGGCTTAAAGAGCACACAACAAATATGAAGACATAAAAAAAATATTTTTATTGAGAATGCCTTTCACTTTCAGGCTATTATCATGGTATTTTTGTTATTTCATATTATTGCCACACTAACTTGTATATATCCATGTCATTTTCTTATGCCTTTTATTCTTATATTCAAATTATGACTGGAAATGGTATATTTGGATAAATACAATTTAAAATACAGTTTAGTATAAAACAAATAGTGCCAAAAAGGGAAACAAAGATGGTAAAAATTATTTGTTACAAGTTGTTAAAGGACTAACATTTTCATTACAAAAGTACCCAAGAGAACTTTAGAAAAATACCTCATTTTAATCTCACACCAATGCTACCATGTAGGCATTAAAGAGTAACTACAGCATCCACAAGTTACAAAATTACTAAATTGTGGTACAAAAG